TAACCAATCACATTACAGCCGTGACGTCATTAAATCTCAGTCAGAGCTGTGCGACACTCGATCGCCGTTTACGGATCCCATAGGAATAAATGAGAAATGCCGTAAGCTGAATCCCACCTGTCACAAAAAGGCATTGACCTCTCCTATAAAACGAAATTTTTTCGTGGTAAACTCTAAAAATAGTTCAATCCAAAAGTATTGTTTAGTGTAAAACATGTTGAAGATTAGCAGATAGGCTGTCGATTCATTAAATGATGAGCTGTTTCCTCTAAAAAGTTTTATATATATATATATATATATATATATATATATATATATATATACACACACACACACACACACACACTGTATATAGACATACATACACACACACACACACAACATACAAGTCATAAATGTACATTTAAATTTACATTTAGTCATTTAGCAGACGCTTTTATCCAAAGCGACTTACAATTGGGGGATACATTATATGCACTTTTTGAAAACAGGTTAGTGAGTCTTGAATCAATCTACTCTGACCAGTTGTTTACATAACAAGGTGTAGTTATTAGGGCTGTCAGTCAATTAAAATTTTTATAAAAATTAATTACATGTGTCGATTAATTAATCTAACTAATCGCAAATTACATTTGCCTGTGAAATTACCCACAAAAGATTGTTTAAAGCTATTTTTGTGTAACATGAGAAAGTATCAAGTAGACATTACAAATAGTATCTTTAGAAAGAAATATTTTATTTAATTCAACATAAAATGTATTACACATAAACGTTTAGACTACAATGGCCTAACAAACTATGGAACATAAAAGAAGATAATTTGAGAAACATCTCAGTATTTTTTGTTCATACAATGAAAGTCCAAAACAGCTTAGTTACCAACAGTCTTCTTTTTTTAGTTTTTTTTATGAAATGATACTCTAAATAAGAAACGAAAACTGCCAGCAGGTGGTGGTAAATGTCTTTTTACGTCATTCATTAATTCGTTCAAACTGCTGATTCATTCAGGAATTAAGTAAACGGTTCAGTTTGTGAATAGGCTATTGAATCATTGGAATCGTTCAAAACGATGATTCATTCAGAAACTAAACACCGCTGGGTTGCTCACAGACGCATTACAGTTTTGCGGTGGCTTTAAAGGTAATGCTTTCTCTGCAAAATTGAGCAAAACAGACAGTATTGTGTTAACATATAACAAAATATTAACTCCTGTTACTGAACTGCTGTGATACAGCTCTCGCTGCTCATGCGGCTTCGCTTATCATACGATATAAATATATGAGACAAACTCATTTTTTTTGCTTTTTTTTGACCAAATATCTGTAAAGTTGTTTCCCTGCAATATATTTGTCAACAGTCAACTGTGTGAAATGTAAGATGACGTACAAGTATAGGGGCGTTAACTGCGTTAAAGGTGACATATCATGAAAATCTGACTTTTCCAAGTGTTAAGTGTTATAATCAGGTCCCCTCCCCAATCTACCAACCAAGGAAACGTAACATTGTTTTGGTAAGTCTTTTTCTGCAAGCGTCTGAGAAAACGAGAGCATATGATTTCGCTCCCTTGGTGACGTGGCAAAGGGATCTGATTATAATATTACCGCCCCTTAATCTGTAAGTTTCCACTCTCTGCGCCGCCATTTTGATTTTGCAAGCGCCAAAGGTGTACTAGCTCTAATGCCATGGTGAAAGTTTGAGCAAAGTGTGTTTCTGCTTCCACTCAAAAAAAGGCATTTTCAAAATTATATAATAAATGATCTGTGGGGTATTTTGAGCTCAAACTTAACAGACACATTCTGGGGAAACCAGAGACTTATATTACATATTGAAAAAGGGGGCATAATATGTATCCTTTAAAATATTTTAATCGCATTATTTTTTCAAAGCTAATTAATTAAGTTAACGCGTTAAACTGGCAGCCCTAGTAGTTACACATCAAAAAAATCACATTGTTAAGCCTGATGTCAGGTACTGCTTCTTTGTTCCATTCACTGATTTGTTCTCACACACTGATTAATAAACGATTTAGTCCAGCTGTTTGAGTGAATCGTAACGCTGCTCTGAATCCAAACCCTTAAGGCCCGTTCACACCAAGCACGATAACTATAAAGATAACGATAAAGATTATAGTTCTAAAAATCGTTCTCAATATTAAAAAATAGCCACACCACACCACAACTATAATGATAAAGGCACAGAGAAACTTTTTTTTTTTTCAGCAGATGAACAATAAAAACATTGACAGCCAATCAGAATGAATCCTGCTGTCACAAGCTCGAGAATTCTGTATCTTTCCGAGAGATATTAAGAGTTTGTTGTTTTCATTCTTTCATATGCATTTGGCTACCCACCAATAAGGAAACGGTCTGTAAAAAGCATTTGACATGTACGGGGTGAGTGGGGCACAAGCGCCGGGTTAACGGTAACACTCCAATGTTTTAAACATTTCCACACGCTAGCGGCTAGCATACATTTTTTTTTACAATTTACTATTATTTCCTTGCCATATCATCACTACATAGAGAGAAAATGTACCAAAGTTCGCTGAACATTTATTTAACCATTGCAAAAGTACATTTCCGGCTGAAGTAAATGTGTCATCTCGGTTTTAGTGTTCATTTAAAATGAGACACAGCTGTTTAGTATTTTTACAATTATTTCACAATTATTTTAATCTCCAAACTGTTTTAGATAGTTCTGCTTCGCTTCTTATGCTTTGCATAAAAAAAGTGTTGCTCCGCTCTCCCCTACACGCACACATTGTGCTGAACCCCGCGATGAGTTTAACAACACTTGCAGCACGGATTACCATTCATATACGCACCGGAGTGAGCACGTTTCAAGTTTTTATGGACATATTTCATAGACATCAGTAACGTCATTAACGTCTATAAATGAAGAAATTAAAACGGAAGTATTAGTAGTGAAATTTTTCAGTTGTACTATAAATTAAATTTTTCTTAATTAGGCTATGTAATATGTTACATTTTTAATTAAGATTAAGCTCACAGTAATGTAAATTGTTTTTTATCTCAAATATTTCGGTGGGTCTTGAAATAGATTATACTAGTCTAGGTGGGTCGCGGAATGGAAAAGTTTGGGAACCCCTGCTTTACACAACTTTCTCCAGCTCGGTCTGTCTGCATGTGTGTGTGTGTGTCTCTCGCTCTCTCTGTGTGTGTGTGTGTGTGTGTCTCTGTGTGTGTGTGTGTGTGTGTGTGTGTCTCTTTCTGTGTGTGTGTGTGTGTGTGTCTCTCTCTCTCTCTGTGTGCATGTGTGTGTGTGTCTTTTTCTCTCTCTGTGTGTGTGTGTGTGTGTCTCTCTCTCTTTCTCTCTGTTGTCATGGAAGTATCACCTAGGTGACTGTTGCTTAGAGATGAATCAGCGTTTTCAGATGCGTGTGAAATGATGGGATCAGTAGCATTTATTTACTCTACCGTCAGTAAAAACAACACAGATACGGCAGAGACACACGCTAATAAACCTGCCCTGTGAAAGATATCATACACTCCACAGCGATCAAAAACAGGTGTCTGACGACAGCAAACAGTGTCTGCGGCTCTGTTCAGAAGTTCCTCTCAGAGCAGGAAGACGTTCAAAGACGAAAGAGGAAGATGCTCGTATTTACTGCTGAGTCTGACACCAGAAATCTTCTTTTAAAAAGGAAGCAGTCTGATTATCAGTCCAGACAATCATGACATGAGGTACTGTACACCACTCAAACAAAACACAGCCTTTCCAATCAACACTTTTGGCTCCTTGTCCAAATAAAGACAAAATATTAATCTGGTGCCAATAGCCCATGTGACCACTGACATCACAGTTATAGTTACTGACATCACAGATGTACTATTTTAGTTTTTGTTAATATTTTGAATTAGATATTATTTTTATATTTTCTGTTTTCACTTTTTCTGTGACTTTTTTTGCATTATTAGATTAAATCATTTATTTTATTGTAATCTAAATGTATTACCAACTTATTTCTCTCTAAATATTTAGAAATCTTCTGACTTTTAAAAAAAATGCATGATTCATACGAACTACTCTTTTCTTTCGAAGCTCAAAAGTTTCAACGCTCATTTATCGCAAATGCATGGGGGGGGGGAATTAAAAACTAAACAAAAACTAATTTATAGTACAAAAACACTTATTGTAACTTCGTGGAAAAATGCTTTTCGCCATCCACAAAAGAAAGCCAGAGGTTTATAACTTCATGTTTTCTTGAGTGACCTCTGCCTCGAGCTGCTGGCAGTGTGCTGGTGTGATGCACGTGCGTGTGCTGGTGTGATGCACGTGCGTGTGCTGGTGTGATGCACGTGCGTGTGCTGGTGTGATGCACGTGCGTGTGCTGGTGTGATGCACAGGCGTGTGCTGGTGTGATGCACAGGCGTGTGCTGGTGTGATGCACAGGCGTGTGCTGGTGTGATGCACAGGCGTGTGCTGGTGTGATGCACATGCGTGTGCTGGTGTGATGCACATGCGTGTACTGGTGTGATGCACATGCGTGTACTGGTGTGATGCACGTGTGTACTGGTGTGATGCACGTGTGTACTGGTGTGATGCACATGTATGTGCTGGTGTTACACGCTTGTTTATCTGTATGGTGTGAAATGTTCAGACACTCATCTGCGTGACTCCGAGCTGAAGGCCTCACCATCAGTGACACGCATGTTAATGATCACAGCTCAACTCATATCTGTAACACAGACACACATATGAAGCACATCTTACCTCGACATGTGCTGCGTGCGCATCTCAGACATAAGGTCGTGTAGCTGAGCAGCTTTCAAGACATCCGCCAACCTAGAACGAGCTGCAGTAAACCCTACAGCAGCAGCACTGACAGCACACCTCCAGCATCTCGCTGCTATCCAGATAACACTGAACGCGGTTCACACAGAAGCTGAAACATGGGAATACCTCTAAAGCGACATGTAACGACGCGATGAAACGAGCCGACAGGTGCTCCTGGAGCCGCACAGATGTGAGCGTCTTACCTCCGCAATGCCTCGAAACCACCTCTGAACACACAGATCATCCCAGAAGCTCGGATAAAACCCGCAACGACATTTTCCTCTCAAGAAGCGGCTGTCTTTCTGCGCTGCCGCGGCTTGTTTTGGTCCGTTACTGTGTCGATGACGTTCACTTCCGGTGTCCCCTCCACTTCCTCCTCCAGCGGATCCGCGCGACTTCGTTTGTTTACATTAATATGACTTTACACGCAGCCGAATATGTTCATAATATATATATATATATATATATAATTTAAAATATATTAATGCTAAATTAAATGTAAAAACCCAACAATACAAATATATTAAATTAACGTATATTTATTGTGACTGATTTATAATATTATTATTATTATTATAGTAATAGTACTATATTGTGATATTGTAATATAAAAATAATAATTTAATATTAAATTACCTAAAGATTACATAATAAAATAAATGAAAAGAAAAAGGGTGGTTAATATGAACAATGAATTGTAAGGTTAAAAAAATATATATTTTTATAGAATAACATGCAAAAAGAATAATATACTTTAAAAAATAAATATAACATGTAACCTACTAGATTGGTAATATGAAAAACATACAAATTATATATTATCTTAAACAAAGTATATTAAAATAACACTAAATAAAATAAAGAAAACAAAAATATAATAAAATAAAATGAAAGCAAATCCGTATTTAATGAGGATATTGGTAAAATAATAAAACAAACCGCATAATATCAATTTGATATTAATAATATATCGTAATGTTAGGATAAATAATTGAACACACAATAATAAATACAGAATTTATAACGTAAGATAAAATTATAACTACGCAATAAAAACAGATTATATACAGATAATATAATAAGAATGATACAGTTTAAAAAAGGTAAAAATATACATACACTATACTAATTATAATAATAATAGAGAAATGAGCTTTAAAAAGCTAGTTTCAACATCAGGATTTCAAGTTCACCTAGTTCTATATTCATAGGTTAATGTTAGTCTTTGAGATATTTGTCGCTGAAAACTTACCAACAAAGGCATGAGACACAACTTTAACATAATGAAATGTCCGTTCCTGGCGTCGCTCATCGTAAAGCAATCCTGCCTTTCAGTGTCAGTTATACAAGACTGTCTGAGTCTAACTAGAACTAAAGAAACGCTTTACATGAGACGGAGGAGACACTTCCCACCGGACCAGTCGAGCCATTTCTGATCCAACTTGGCTCAAATTTATTAAGAAGCAGCTCAGAGTCAATTCAGTTCATGCTTATTTGTACAGAGCTTTTCACGTTGCAAAGCAAAATTACATTTTCTACATTATATTTCTCTACTGTCATGCATTACATACACAGTAAAGCATCATCACATATTGTTTCTAACATAAAAGATATATTCTATTTATAAATGTGTTGTAATCATCATCGATAAAAGGGTGGTTATTGGATAATTAAACATGTCTAAAAAAATTGGGTTTCTTGCTTGCTTCTGGTTTTTATATGTAGAATCTTTTATGTTTGTTCTTTATGTACTTGTGGACTTTGGTTTTTCTTTTACCATCAACCTGCAGATGAGAATTAGCCTGTATGGCCAAATCTGGCACATTTGCATGATGGCCTTGAGTGCTCGTGTTAATTAAAGGGAGACACTGCAGGCAAAAACACTGTTGCACCTGGGCTTTTTGGTTTTTCATAAAGTGTTTTTTCAGACTAGTAGAAAGAAAACATCCAAAAGACACTTTTACGTGTTTCTATTATAGCACTTTATTTATTTGTGTCAACAGATTTCAATTACAATACATATTTTTAAAGGCCATTTTCTCCAAATGAGTTTTTCCTCTTACACTGAGCCATAAATCTCCACTTCAGTAGCACTTACTTACAATTTTACAGAGGGATTTGTTCATATAGAATTTGCTTGATTATATACAACATATTATTCCCCCCAAAATTGTGAAAATATATTGTTTTCTGTCTGTTCTAAGTGTTTTCTGAGTGACAAAAATCAGATGCCCAAAATTCCCTCTGTAAAAACTCTAATATGTCAAAAAAATTTAACTGAGTTCATCCAGTGTTTAGATTTTTGTACTAGAAATGTATGCAAATTAGCGCATTTCATCAAAGGGGTCATATGATGCGATTTCAATTTTTCCTTTCTCTTTGGAGTGTTACAAGCTCTTGGTGCATAAAGAAGATCTGTAAAGTTACAAAGACTAAAGTCTCAAATCCAAAGAGATATTCTTTATAAAAGTTAAGAGTCTGCCACACCTACCTAAAACGCCTCGTTCTAAACGTCGTTCTCAACCCCGCCGCCTCTGCTCACTCTAGCCCGGCCTCAGCTCACGCTAGGCGGCCATGTTTTTCGTTGTGAAAGCGAAACTACTTTGTTTGGTCTTCCAAAAGAGGACACGACTAGAAATCAGTGGTTAAGTTGTATTTACAACACTGTTCCAGAACAGTTCAACCCAAATATTCAGATGTGTGCAGCACATTTTATTGCATATTTAAACATAATATTTTTAGAAAACTTCTGATTCTGTTTTCATGATTCGATTTTCTCACAATTTTTTTTTTAACAAAATGAGATTGAAGACATTCAGTGAATAAGAAGGTGTCCTTTCATTATTGAAGCTATTGCTGCACGTTTCTTTGTGAAATATAAATATAACTAAACTAAATTGAAATTTTAAAACAAACCCCAAATCAAAGAAATAAGTTACACAAATAAAAAAAATCTCTTTGTATAAACAAACTAAGGCTTTGTGCTCTCTCCATTTAATATGAGAGGCAACCACTGCTTTTTAATCATCATCCAAACAAAGATGCAGTATGGTGTTTCCTGGGTTACCGCCGTAAACAAAGCAGCGCTGCGCTCATGAACAGCAACGATACGGTGTTTCCTGGGTTACCGCCGTAAACAAAGCAGCGCTGCGCTCATGAACAGCAACGATACGGTGTTTCCTGGGTTACCGCCGTAAACAAAGCAGCGCTGCGCTCATGAACAGCAACGATACGGTGTTTCCTGGGAGTAAACCGGAGTAACCGGAGACGTTCCCTCTCGAGCTTTCATGAGACATCACGTAGACATTTCTCCGTTATGGGAACGACATTCAATCCCGCCGTTAGACTAGCAGTCGCAGACGCTGCCACCGAAATGGCATCATCCTCCTCTTCAGCGCCCTCCATGGCACCGAAGGACACCACATCTTCAGCGATGGGGGAGGGGCGGAGAACAGCGGTCATGGAGCGCACTGGAATGGGACCTGCAGCAGAGGGGTGGGGAGCCCGTGGGCACTAAGCCGGCGCGTGCTTGTCACCTGATCCTGACAGATCCACATCAGAAGCTCGCAGCACTTCCCTCTTTGGCTCGAAAGAGGCTGCAGAGGAAGAGCGCGACAGGGCTAGTTGGGCGAGTTCATCGCTTGGATGATGGCCACACAGAGCTTGAGAGTCCGGAAGCTCATATTTCCGCAGTGGGGGCAGTCCGACCCCCTAAGATGCATGGGCATGGGCGCGACCCAGGCAGAAGATGCACGACTTGTGGCCATCAGAGTTTGATTGGCTCTGCGCAGGAGAGGCAATCGCGAGTCATCCTTGTTTCCGAAGCTCACCGGAACACAGCAGGGGAAGAGAAGGTGTGTCCGCTGCAGCGTGTAGATCACGGTGAGTAGTCTTGATGACAGGCTTCTTGCTTCTAGTAGAAGGTTGGCTGAAGAAAAAGATTCTGAATAGATGACGGGCAAGCACTGCTTTATATAGAGTGGGAGCCCCTCATATTTCGCGCGCTTGAACGCCATTGGCCAGTTTCACTGGCGTGATTCAATAAGGCTTCAGTAGTATTTGGAGGAAAGGGTAATTCCCCCATAGCAATGTAGAGTGACCGAATCGAAAGGGAACACGTTCTACTGTCTCTACCTGCCCACAGAAATCACATGTCCCTGTGTTATGTTTACCTCTCTTGAACAGTGTTTGGACAGTACTTTGGACCTAAGTAATAATTCTTATATTTACGTACCTTGCATTTTCATTAAATTGTTTATCACCAGTATCAGTATCATTATATATTTACCAGCATTATTACTCAGGTTTAAAAATGTCAGCAGAGACAGCGCTGTCACGTGTTACCTGTTACTTTTCTCAGCGCAGGGCAGGAGGGACCAATCAAAGGAGAGTCGTTGTGATCACAAAAAAATAGCCATTTATTTATATATTTACTTTAAATCTAGATTTCCATATATTTCTGATATAGCTGAATAATTAAAAAAGATTATGATTGTTATCATATACATATAAATGTCTTCAGTAAGACTGAAACGCCTTTGATTTGAATGTGGGATTCGGCTTTCTGAGACGCCAAGGGCCTCTTGTGGATGAACTACCCTTCGTAAGAAACAATGATCAGAAACGTGTAAGATATCTCGCTGGTGATCAGGGCCGGAGTGGGACTCATTTTCAGCCCTGGAGATTCATGCCATAGACCGGCCCACTTATTGTAAAAATTTTTTACTGGCCTACAGTGCCACCTTTGTGCTTTCTATTATCCATTTTTCATCTATTATTTTTTGCTTGTATATCTCCAACAACTGACGGTTTTTGTTTTTGTTTTTTTAGCAAGGTGCCGGTCAGGGGAGTCAAAAGATAATTACATCATCATTAGGGTTGCCAATTAACTTCAGAATTAACTTCAGGACAATTGTGATTCTTTAGCTTTTATTCTTTAAGAAAATAGTGTTTATTATTGTATTCTTGTAGAAAATAAGTGTTTGTTCTTTAAGAGAATAAGGGACGCTCCAAATATTTGTACTGTACCATAAAGTATGTCTGCCTGCAGTCAAATAGTTCTCAGAAATAATGACAATTGTTTTGCTTAAACTATGCACAATTATTCTAAAAATAATTTTACTGTCATACAAAAAATGTCATCGGCCTGAGTAAATTGTACCAATATAGAATTGTGACTTCACAAGTGTAGTAAGTTAGGAGGTGAAAATACTGTGAAATTACAAATGGCATGAAATCTGAAAGCGTAACATGAAACTTCAGTCAATAAAGCATTTTAAACAATGGCATTTAAAGTTTTGAACTAAAAAATCATTGCAACCATGTGACCCTGGAGCACAGGAAAATAAGGGACAATTGTGATTCTTTAGCTTTTATTCTTTAAGAAAATAGTGTTTATTATTGTATTCTTGTAGAAAATAAGTGTTTGTTCTTTAAGAGAATAAGGGACGCTCCAAATTATGTATGTCTGCCTGCAGTCAAATAGTTCTCAGAAATAATGACAATTGTTTTGCTTAAACTATGCACAATTATTCTAAAAATAATTTTACTGTCATACAAAAAATGTCATCGGCCTGAGTAAATTGTACCAATATAGAATTGTGACTTCACAAGTGTAGTAAGTTAGGAGGTGAAAATACTGTGAAATTACAAATGGCATGAAATCTGAAAGCGTAACATGAAACTTCAGTCAATAAAGCATTTTAAACAATGGCATTTAAAGTTTTGAACTAAAAAATCATTGCAACCATGTGACCCTGGAGCACAAAAGCAGTGTTAAGTCGCTGGGGGATATTTGTAGCAATAGCCAACAATACATTGTATGCTTCAAAATTATAGATTTTTCTTTTATGCCAAAAATCATTAGGATATTAAGTAAAGATCATGTTCCATGAGGATATTTTGTATATCTTCTACTGTAAATATATTAAAACTTAATGTTTGATTAGTAATATGCATTGCTAAGAACTTCATTTGGACAACTTTAAAGATGATTCTCTCAATATTTAGATTTTGTTTTCAATGGAAAGCTATTTATTGATGATGTATAAATCTCAATTTTGACAAATTGGTCCAGGGTCACATTTGAATGAATGAAAATGCATATTTTTCAATTAAAGAAAACTTAGAGAGTGTGGGCTGCTTCTGGTGCTTGGATGTGTAGCCTACTTCAATAATGAGGTCCAAGAATACTAGAAGTTAAATTCTTTTTTATATGTATTTCTCTCGCTCTCTCTCTCTCTAACTGCATTGCAATGAAAGACGTCTTCCTCAGGTAGATTGAATGTTGGGCTCGTGCTCAATAAGTTGTTTGCATTCGCCCAAACTGAATCAAAACGAAGAGGATTCCGCTTGGTCTTAAAGCCTTCCCGAAACGGCTACCTCACAAATAAAACAATGACTTGCGCAAAAATGATGATTAATTATCAATTGAGAATTTGTTATTGCTATGGGCAGGTGAAAATAATAATATGGGCTGCGAGAAAATTATAAATAAAAAGAGCGGGGCTGCTATGACTGCAGGCAGTCTAGGGACATCTATCTATTATAGATCAGTGGACAGCATCCATATTTCAACCCCAAGTGGCATGACAACACTGCGGCCCTCGCGGCCTAAAAAACGAAAAGAATCCTCCCGGTGCTCCCGATTAGCCAATCCGGTCCTACTGGTGAATAAGGGTATTTTATGTGTGGTTTAAAAAATTCGTACAGCCAGAGCGGTAATTTCAGTCAGGAGTGTCGCGGTCAGCCCCTCATGTGACCATAGGGGTCCTGACTGCGATGTTGTGTGCAGTTCATCATGGCGGCGAACAGCAGCAACAGCACGAGCGGTAAAAGCGGCGGAAAGCAGCCCGCTCCGTCTGCTGAGCAGGTAACGACGCGTCGGGGTTATTACAGTAACGCATGAACGCGTCGTCTGCGCCGCGAGCGAGTAACGCGTCTGCTGTAAGCAACCAAGCCGCGAGCGCCGACGCCCCTCACTGCATGCTGCTGTGTTCAGTGGAGTCGCTACGGATTGAGCCGCGCGCGAGCTGGTTTATAGTTGCCAATGCAAACTTCAGATCAGATGCATGAGCGATAACAGATACTGTCTTTTTTATAAATCTGGGTATTTCAGGTTAGGTTGAATGTCTCCTGCCATTAAACTAGCACATGCCCTCCTGTCTCTTTAAGGAAAGTGCATCATCTGTCACAAGTCTAGTCGTTTAGAGGCATTCCTGATGACTTAATATTCACAAATGAGTTTTTTTCTTGATCTAACATAGATTTTACGTGTTTAACATGTAACGTTATCCTGCAATAAACTCTTTAACGTCAATCCTCTGCAATGTGTGATGGCGTTAGGTTTCATAACGTGCGAAATATTGTTTTATATTTGGTGATAAACTTGCATTTAAAACACATCTCTTTACATTCCCACACACACACTTTTTAAATTTGTATTTAAATATATTTAAATATACATGTATAATGTGAACTATTATGAAATCTTAATGTTGTATCACATATATTTATTTAAATATATATTTATATTTAATAATTTGATTACATTGTAACTTTAATTATTTAATAAATATAAATATTTATTACACGAAAGTCCAAATGTTAAAATAATAATGTTGAAATAATGTGGAAAATGTACATTTCAGTGCTCTTAAAATTTAGGAAACTAAATACTTAACGAGAGACCATAAACATGTTCAAAACAATTATAATTACCTCATAAAAATAATTTTAGCAAGTCATCAAGGGGACAGAATCGTTTTTCTAAATGCACCTGTATATTTGAACCTAATGATCTTTTATTATATTTTACAATTTACTACCTTATTAATATGCATGTGTTATTAATCTGCGTGCTTGTTTGGATCAGGTGGTGGCTACTTTCCCTCATATGACCCCTTTAATATCTTGTGTACTAGTGAAAAGCTGCGTGTTTGTAAGAAACACAGCCATCACATTTTAACTTAAAACTGTCACTTCTGGTCGAATGAGTCCATAATAACGCTTCCTCCAGTGAAAAAGTGGACTGGTTTTTACTTGTAAACAATGCTTGATCTGTGCGTACTTATAAAATCTGGAGAGTTCCGGTCCTTGATTCTGATTGGCTGAGCCACGTTCAAAGCTGTTGTAAATCACTCTACAAACACACACCTTTGTTTACTTCTGTGCTGTTCTGCAACCACTTTGTTGGAACCACATTGTTTGGTGGAAGAATACTGTTTTTATTAACATCATTACACTTTTATTCTGTGAAACCTTACTACGTATATGGAATAACCGTTTTATAAAAGCAATAATCCCTATGAAGCCATGGTTTACAGTGGATTTATAACAGCTAAAGGGGTTTTAGGCACTACGTGAACAACGCCCCTTAGTGTTTAATTTAAATTAATTTATAACAGCTAAGGGGGTTAACTGCGCTTCGCGTCGTGCCTAACAACGCCCCTCAGCTGTTATAAATTCACTGTAAACCACGGCTTCACGGGGATTATTGCTTTATTCTCTCCTGATTCAGACTTTTTCACAGGAGAATCAATATTAAGGATTTTGGACTTGTATTCTAGTCGAACGCAACACTTTGATGTTAAAACATGTCTCAATGATGGATTTGTTTCTTACAAACACTTCACAAGATGTTAATTGATGGACTGGTTGTCTGAAAGACAGTGTAAACTTCCTCTTCGCAGCCTCGTCATTGAGACGCTAAAGGAAGTCGATCCGTCGCGGAAGTGCTTTCGTTTGGTGGGCGGCGTGCTCGTGGAGAGGACGGTCAAAGAAGTCCTGCCTGCGTTAGAAAACAATAAAGAACAGGTACGACTCTGCTGCGGGACTCGCACACCTTTGCTCGTCATAAACGATGCATTATTAACGCTTCTCTCCTTCCGATCAGATCACGAAGATCGTGGAGTCGCTTAACACACAGATGCAGGCGAAAGGGCGGGAGCTGACGGAGTACCGCGAGCGCTACAACATCCGATTAGTCGGAGAGGACGACAAACAGAGCAAAGCGGACGCCAGTCCAGCCAAAGAGAGCGAAGGAGGAGGCTCGAAAGGAGGCGCCGGCGTGCTCGTCTCCTAGTGGATTTGTCTTTAAACGCTGGTTGGCGGAGAGACTGAGTTGGCATGTTTCTATTTAGTCGTACAGATGCCAGTCATAAAGCACGAAAGAGAGTGAAAGTCATGCACGTTTTGTACGTTCATAACATTAAAACACAACGGCACATTTGCAGCCGAATGCATCGGCTAAATTGTTTGCCATTATTTGCTTTTCAGTCCAGTTTAGTCAACAAGCGTGTCGTTTCATGTTTAAACGGACTGCATAAATTCTCTATATTCAAAATGGTTTTGAGACTTGACTTTGGCTTTCCTCCAGCTTTGGGAAGACGTGATATTTAGTCATATTTGGTGCGGAGTGAAACGAGCGACTTGTCTCGTACCCTGGACCTCTGACTGTTGACCGCAGCTCGGCTCCATCGTTTATCATGTCACGACTGTTATGTTTGTTTTGTTTTTGTGATTGTTTCGGTTATTGAATTAAAAATACAAAAGTCAGCAAGATCTGTTCACAGCGTTGCGTGTTTCGTTTGTCAATACATTCACACACTTGTTGGAGCAAAAAAGCTAATTTAGTTAATAATTTAGAGTATAAAATAAAGTGAAAATTAAAGTACAATTATATTATATTCGTCTTCATGTTTTATAGATTTTCAAAATAACATAGAAATAATTTTGCTATTATTATTCAAACTGACCGGGCTTCTAAAAATGACTGAACATAATGTGGACCAAAAGAGGTTCGAGTCCAATTTAAAGTTAAGTCAGTGCAAAGACTTATGTGTGTTTGAGATTAAATGTTTACATCACAGTTCAAATTCTGATTCAATGTCATTTTTTAACTAAATTATGCAGCCCTATACTGTAAATGATTTCTCTGTGTTTTGTGTGACAATAATTGTACAACTCTTGTTGTTTTTATGGAATATTTTACAATATATACCATGATACCGAACAATTACCACATGCATATACCATGGTATGTGGTGACACTGCTTAGCTGTATGCAAGTTTGTTTTTGTTTTGTTTTTAATTATAAGTTTCAAAATCTTTCTGATGATACTCTCAAATAAGTCAAACCGCTTCAGCATCTTTCTCACACACCCCCAAACCTCTATTCTGGGGTTTACTAATGTAAGTTTAGGTTTACGAATATATAGGTAAATATCACATTCATAAACGGTGCTCAAAAAATACATTTTTTAAATAGTTTAAGGCATATCATTATCGATAGACCTATTGATATCGATAGCATTGGAGACATAAGGAACTTTAATCCATCTTAAGGTCTTTTCAGAATTAGTGTTGAAGATTTGATTTGAATACCCTTATGTATCGGCCTATAGTTTTTTATTTTTATTTTGTGTTATTTATTTTTATATTTTATTATCAATGGTTATTGTTATTGTTTGTATCTATTAGTTATGTGAGTTTTTTTGTTTGTTTTTTAAATGCAAGTTTGGTGAGCAAACAAGCAAAAAGGCACGTGCACAGCTATCTACTGTAATTGCGTCGAGTTTTACTGTAGTTTTACTGTTTACACTCGCTTAACTGTAGGGGGCTCCAAAGTCTCACAAATGCCGTCTCGAGATCAGCGTTGTATATATTATGTTTAAAATATTTTAATTATATTACCCTGTATTTTTTATTATTTAAGCCTAAAGATTACTATGGCAGCATGTGCAAAAACATCACTGCACTTTATGATTAGCTGAGCACATGTAATAATTAATGCGCGTAATACACCAAAACTGCAGGACTTCCGGTCTGTCATTGATAAAGTCTAAATTAAAATAAATTTCCGACGAGGATGGGATTCGAACCCACGCGTGCAGAGCACAATGGATTAGCAGTCCATCGCCTTAACCACTCGGCCACCTCGTCTGATACATACATGTGCATGTACATGATCTTTTTCATTCTACAGCTACACATTTAGGTCATAACACATCTACGTTTTGATGTCTAGTAAGTGTGTACTAGTGTCTCTTCTGGCTGTTACAAACAGGAAGTGTTTATGGAGTCGAAACAGTCACATACAGGTACGCCAGAGCACAAGTAGCGAGCCGAGCCCGTTTCACAGTGTTTACGGTAACGTTACCCGGAACAGTATACTAACATGCGCAGTGTGCTAGAGCGCGTTTCTCTTATGCTGCTCACTGGCGTCTTTTCAATGCATGCATCCAAACATGCAAGTCAATTCCCGTTTAACCTGACCTGCACTACCTCTGGCTGCAATGCAAATCAGTGCAAAGTCGGCTGCTGCATGCATGAGGGCTGCATAGCTGGCTAACCCTTGCTGATCTGTGTGAGCACTCTTTATTTCATTAGCATTAACCAAAAGGTGCTAGTAATTGTAATGCATTTCTCTAAAAAATGCTCCGTGTTTAAGGTGGTGCTCAGTGCCCTTCTCATCGTTGCACTGTTGCAGCTTCTATATCTGTCTTTCCTCTCAAAGTTGCACGGCAAACAGCAGCGCTACAAGTATTCTGAGCTCTTCGGCTCCAAAAAGACCGCAAACCAAGGAGAGAAGAACCCCAGACGGGAACATCTCAGGTACTCTTTATCTACAGGCGGGATCTTCGATGGGAGTGGACAGTACCGCGTCTATAAGAGCCTAATCAAAAGCGACTTCTCGACCAATCAGAAGCCAGGAGCGGATCCCAGATCGCACCACCTGGCTTTGGCCACGCATACCACCATCAACAACCTTCACCATTTGAGCTCTTTGTTGGAGCGCTGGCAGAATCCGCTATCCGTTGTGATATTCGCCAACGGCCAAGATGTCAAGTTCGCCACGGCGTTCGTTTACGCCCTCAGCCTGTTTTGCCCGCAGGTTCAAGCGTTGGTGGACTTCCATCTGGTTTGCCACTCGGGTGAAATGGCGAGTTTCCCAGACCAGGATCGAGAGCATTTCGCTGGTCTGGAGGACATGGGCTGCTCCGGCGTTTTCGCCAAGCTCGAATCGTACAGAGACAAGTATAAAAACTACGCGATTGGGAACAATGTCTCGTACCCCAATAACCTTCTTCGCAACGTGGCCCGCAGTGGCACAGACGCCGCTTACATCCTGGTCATCGATATCGACATGATACCCAGCGCCAATCTGCACCACCAATTCGTGGCAATGCTAATGAGGCGCGAACCGGCTGCGGACGAAGTCCTCGTGCTTCCCGCGTTCGAGATCAGACACACTCGTAAGATGCCTGCGACGAAGGCGGAGCTGGTGCAGCTCTATCAGGTGGGAGAGGTGCGGCCGTTTTACGACGAGCTTTGCCCTCGCTGTCAGGCTCCTACGAATTACTCGCAGTGGGTCAATCTGGCCAGCAGGGGCTCCGGGCTGCTGGAGGTGGCGTACACTATAAACTGGGCCGATCCGTGGGAGCCTTTCTACATCGGCGCTCGAACGGTTCCTCTCTACGACGAGAACTTCAGGCAGTACGGCTTCAACCGCATCAGTCAGGTGAGGGATGGAGCAGTGGACTCCTGCAGGAAGTGTATACGCGACCAATCAATTCGCCAAATGCAAAATAAATCCTGTTTTTTACACACACACACTTACGGTTCATTTCCACTGCAGCGTCAAATCTGCGCTCAGTGCCGCTGGCAACGCTACGACACCACTGCTTTGGGGCGTATCAAATTCAGGGCAGAGCACGCCTCTGAAAAACACCCTGTTTACGTTTCATCTTCTTCCTTTCACAGCGATTGGTTGTCGCTCGACATTTGCATAAAGTCGAGGAATGCCCAATCTTTTTGACGCTCTCAGCCGCTGTCAATCCCATAATACACCGAGCGAGCGTTTAAGCTCAACTTCTATAGGAATGAATTGAAAACGCTCGCTATGTGCCAGTGGAAACGCACCGTAAAGAAAAATTGTAGGTGCGTAAAGCCAAGGGAGCACTTGAAAACGAACAAGAAGGTAGCAGGCCGCACACTGAGTCCAATACAGACTGAAAAATCTAGCAAAACATTTTTTATTTTATAAATTGCATCGTGCAAAAAGTCAAATTCAAATTCAGTTGGACTCCGTGTGCGACTAGCTACCTTCTTGTTCGCACACACACACAATTAATGTTTCTCAAAAAGTATATACAAATTTGGATATAGATTTATCGGCCAACATATCGGTTATCGGCTTTCAAAAATAAAGAATTATCGGTTATCGTATCAGCCAAAATTTTCATATCGGTGCATCCCTAATTTAGTCATTTAGAAGATGCATGCAATACAGGACATTAGAAGCAATTAAAACCAAAAAAAGAGCAATTGATATATAATCATATATATTATAATGCATAATAAAATAATATATATAAAATATTCAGATTTTTCACTTTTTACTGCATGCACACACACATGTATGTGTGTATGTATATTAGGCTATATTGTGATATTTAGAGTATCAAATTATATAACTATAATATATTATGTTTTAATATTGTATATATTTGTAATAGCTTTTACAATAATTAATATAATACCCTAAACATATTATATGATGTTTCCAGAATGCCATATATGTATAAAATTTATATAATAAAATGATTAATATTAATTATCGTTGCAGTTTGTATGTTTTAACCCCCAAAATGTATATGTATGCTGTGAAAATGACACAAAAAAGTTATTACATTTTTAAATTAAGTATTTATTACATTAATAAATGTTAAATTTTTTGTAAATTCATATATATACTCACACACATATATATATATATATATATATTGCAATAAAACAAATTCATATTTTGTATAATGTGAATAGAAAGTGGACTGAGTTCCGGTGTGAACTGAGAAGCCTCTCGTGGTGTAAAATATGAATATTTCTGTTATTCATTAATTTGCTCCGTTACCTGCTGACTGATTTCTCTCTTCTCTTCAGGCCTGTGAGCTTCACATCGCAGGTTACCGCTTCTCTGTGCTGAGCAATGCGTTTGTGGTGCACAGAGGGTTTAAGGTCCAGGGAGAGTTTCACAGCAGAAAGGACGAGGAGAACCGCAAGAACCGCATCCTCTTCCGCAGCTTCAAGGAGAGCCTGAAGGCCAAGTATCCCAACTCGCCTCGCCGCTGCTGAGAAAACAGACGGTGGTGAGAGAGATCACGTCTAATCCTGACTTCATGTGAGAATCATAGATGCACAAAACTGAAGCCAAGAACCTGTTTGTATCTGCACTCATTTCAAACATCAAAAACTACAGTCAACGGAGATGCTCTTCTTGAATGCTCATCATTTTATCAATAAGCTGAAGACACGAGAGAAACTAAATAAAGATGGTCCTTTTTGTTTTCATTACACTTGTGACTACTTTGAAATTTGAGAGCAAGGTAAAAATGTCTTCAAAGTTAACTTATTTATTTATTTGATTTTGATGCTGTTTTTCATCATTTACTTTTCTGAGGTTTTCAATGTATTTTTTTAATTGAAATCTACAGACACAAATATATTAATTGGAATAAAACAAGTTTTCTTTCAACTAGTCTGAAACAACAGGTTA